CTCGAAAGCCCCGGAAACTTTTCGGGCCCGTAAAGCCATAGCAAAATCTCGAACCTTACGATTACAGAGCTGTTTTATTCACATATTCTTAAGATGAAGAAAAGTTCCCTTCATACAAGAAGTTTCAGGCGTATACATTTCTCCGTTTTTAGAAACAGATGGACTAAAAATGGCTTTACGGGCCCGAAAAGTTTCCGGGGCTTTCGAGAAACGGGTCCCTGGGCCCTAACCGGAGTGGAGAGGTTTCTATCTCCACCCGACAGTAGGACTGGAAACGAACACACTCTTCTTTGGAACCCAGTCTCCGCGCTCATATTGGTTAGTTACAGTGTGTGCCGAACGAAAACAAGCACTCTGTTGTCAGCCACAGTCAAGTTCTCCCTTACGTTTAGAATTATGAATGACGATGAAGGAATTGACTTCCGTAAACTTGAAAAGGAGCTTGCTTTAGCTGTTGAAGCGGACGCTAAGTATGTTCGGGAGAACGACGCGAAATTTCGCGCTGTGGAACAGCGAGTAGCAAGCTATGAGGAATTTCGGGATATTGTCAGCGCGGCTCACTTGAGACCTCTGGAACGAAAAGATATCACCGGTGAGTGAAAAAAACGAACGAGGAAACTAGGTATAGAACACTGTCAAGCTATCGATCTCGCTATAAAGAACATTTGGTGGAAAAGAAGCTTTCTACTGACAACATTTATATACACCAGACTCTGTTAGCTGATTGGTTCTTGGAAAATGATTGGCCTTAATGGCAGGGTCAGGTGCCTTTCATGATTTAGTCAAAATTCTGGAAATTTTGGTTTGAAACGGTATGGAATGAACTGGAGTGTTCATTCTTTTTTTTCTGAAAGAGTCAGGTGGGATGACATTTGAATCATGGCAACTAAAGTGTTTTTCCAAAACTCAGCAAACCAACTGAAGGAGATGAGACTTGCCATTATCATTTATAATTCCGTTTTTGGTTATTTTTTTTCTTTAACTTTAGACTAAATATGAGATAAACGAAGAGAACAAATGGTACAGAAATTTCCATCGGTCCTTAGAAATTATTTAGCCATGAAAGGACTACTTCAAACAATAGGTTCTTTTCCAAATTTTACAAAAAATTGCTGGAAACATTAAATTCTGTCATCATGATGTTATCGGAACACAACTTTATGAAGTAGTCCACTTGTAAGCAGCTAAAGCTTAAACTTCTTGAAGAAATGAAACTTGTGCAGCAGTGGTCCCGTTTTCCCACTGGGCCATCCAGAATCACAATTTCATTTTTATGTACTCTTTTGCAAAGTTTGACAAATTTTGATCAATATTATTATTTTCTTAACAGGTGAAAAGTCTCGCAAACAACCTTGGAATCCTCATGCCCATAGTAAATCACAGACAACGTCAACAAACTCTAATTTACCACTGCCCTCTGTCTCAAAAATGCCTCAGACTACCCATGAGTTTACCAAGGTTTGGAAACGTCAGTGTAAAACAGAATTAGAAAAATATCAACTTTTGCTTGGAATTGGTGGCCAGGGACTAAGAACTATTTTCAAAGCAGAGATAAGCATGGGACATTTGGGAGAATTTCTTGTTATTCTTCACAACTGCTTGGATGAAAAAGACACAAACAAAGTTTTTGACATTCTCCAGCAACTCTCAAGAACAAATAGGTTTGACCTTTCTCTAAAGTTTCTTGGCGAGGAAGAGAAAGTTGTGGCATCAAAGCTTTTCAAACAACTGGAGGCTAATATCTGTGGATCAGAATCAGAAGACAGAGAAAGTGAAGGAGAAAGAAAAGTTAATGTGGAGTTGATTCAGGAACTGAGGAGAACTTATGGTGTGATAGGTTGACCAGACTAGTTGATTTCCTAGTCTTGCTGGGACAATGATATACTGTTTGTACACTATAGTTGAAACATCTAGTTACTCTTTCTGGGAGCCACGGTTGGCCTCATGGTTGGTGTGCTCACCTCTGGATTGAGTGGTTCAGGTTCAAACCCTGCCCAGAGACAGTGCCTGTCTCCACCTAGGTGTACAGGTATAAATGGGTACCAGGGAATTTTATGCTGCAAGATAACCCTGGGATGGACTATCACTATCACCCCATCCAGGAGGGAGTAGAAATACCCCTAGTAACTTAATGCTGCAGAAACTGGAGATAAGTGCCATTGGCTCTTATGCAGACTTAACGCAGTAGTATGCTGTACCCTACCTTTATTCTTTCTCCAGTCTTAAATCACCTTTTAATTCAAGATCTTCATCAACAAACATTAGGTAATGCTACAGCAATACAATACATTTATCAAATAGTGCATAGTTTTATTGTTCATTAATACCTCAATCAGAATATTTGAGTGGTTGCCCAAGGCTTGAACGCACAGTGCAACATTGCAGGCAATTTGCTTCCAAGGGCTAGCCTAAATCGTTCACGACGGAAATTGTTCACCTTACTATTGCTGTCTTAACCAGTGGACAATAATCCACAAAATATTGCACAAAATGCTGCACCATGTGTCAGGGCCGAGGGAAAGATCAGTTTGTCATTCCCAAATGTGGTTGTGGTCTCTTATGAGTGTGTGCAAACGTATAACAGATTTGGAGTGTAATTCAAATGGGGATTTCACAGTGGTTGTCATAGGTTGAGCTGGTCACTTACAAGAGTGATTGCAAGGAGAGTTTCAACTGTATATCTTATAAACCAAGTGAAGATGCCATATTGGAAAGATAATAGCCCCAAGTTTTGACAGTACATATCGAGGGAAATAAGAGCTGCAGAAAAGACCAAGGACTGATGTTGTCCCACTCACTAGTATGGTCCCAAACAAGCCTGGTTAATAAGAGATTTATTACCACATCTTGAAATGCAATAAAGAGTTCACCTATTAGAGTAGGTTGGAAAAATCTCAGAAGCCACACATCTCTTTAGAACCTGTAATTTCATTTGCCCCTTGTTTCACGCCTCTGTTGTTGTAAGAGTCAGGTTCATTGTTTCTGTTGCTTGTTCGATTGTTTTATCAGCCAATCCTGTTAAATCTTCTGAAACATGTGTTTCACTTCAGCCATTGGACGTGCAAAGCTAAAGTACTCTGAATGGCTGACATTCGTTGAAGGTCTTCTCTGATTGTCACTAGAGTTATCCCATCATCTAAAGAGGTCTCTTTCATGATGTCTTACGATGTCATTATAGAAAACAAATTCAAATACATGTAAATTACTACAGCACCTTTTAATTCACAGTTCTCCCACACCAAAATGCACAATGAATATGTAACTAAAGTTGTCTAATGTTATGACTAGTCTAACAAGTGAGAATTATTATTAACACTGTTACATGTAATTCTCATTTGTTATTACAATACATAAATGGAAACCTCTTTCTTTAGGACATTAATAACTAACAAATAACACTGAATTCTACCAAGAAAGTAAATCACAGAAATCACAATTTACAGTGACGTATGACTATATTTACATCTTAACCTGATTTTTTAAAAACCCAGTGGTTAGAATTTCTAAGTTATTTGCACATACCATTTGATAAGTCACGAGATTGAAGTGCTGGATCAGATTATTTTGCCAAGAAAGTATTCATTTTACTTAAAGCAAAATTTCCAACATGGATAATTTATTTTACGTTCAAAGAATGGACATTTGCAACAACAATATTTTGTGCATTCATCTTTTATTTCCTTGCTTATGCTCCAACTTTGTCACATGCCAAAAAAAAAAAACATTACTTTCTTCACTCAGAAAAGGTCACTGAAATGTTCAGTCTGAACAGAACTAGTCTTGTGTTATTTGACATGTTCATTTCAGCATCAAAGACAATGACTAAAACTGAGGACTTTGAATTTTTAACAAGAATCAGTTTTTATACAATGAAAGGAATTGACAACCACTTGTGAAAAAATAGTTTGTGGCAAGTCTGATACTGTGTTTTTATAGTGAATTTGAGAAGAGAAGGCTCTCGCTAACTTTCTATTTCTCTGAAACAGAATCCAAAAATGCTTAAATTATGAAGACGGTTCTCACAACAAAGCTCAGAGCATTAGCATTCCCTACTGAAGTTAAGTGCTGAACACTCCTCGAAATATTTCAACAGCCCTGTCAGTATTTCAGCAATAGTATTACTACATTGGCATAATAATTATTAAACATCCTAAATAACTTGGACTGCAAGATTACTTTTCTAGGCATTGCTTACATCAATCTTGTGGGTAATTTGCTTTATCATTAATTTTTAAACTTCTTGCAAACTACTGCTTTAACTTAAGATTATGCACTCCAACCTTAAATAACTAATGTTATCCTCAGGTGGAACATTTTAAATGAATTATGTTAAATTAACTAACACGAGAAGGTAGGTAAATTAAGGGTGCTTAAATGAGGTGATAAGTCTAAATTTCTTCAACTTCTCAATCCGTCTTTCTTTGAAAAGTTGAAGAAAAAATTGATAGTAATATACTGTAGTTGAATCACTATGCATGCAATTTATATATGAAGTTGTGTAATCTCCCAAAAAGGAACCGTTAAGAACAGGTTACAAACTAAACCTTGAAAGTTCCTGACTCCATGGCCTGATAGTGATTGAACATTGCAAGTTTTAAAGGAGCTACCTCACGGTTTGCACATCTTGAAAAGTTTAGCCTAAATTGTTCAAGTTCGTTATCTGTAAACCACATCAATCTTCTCCATCCTTACTATGTGGCAAAAATACTGATCTGAGCTCCTTCAAGGTCCCATTCACCTGACAGATGAACTATATCTGGCAAATTAGTCAACTCAGCTATTAGCACTGATGGAAACCAACTAGTAAAAGTCTTGTTTAACTGAATGTATAACAAGCCATAACTTGTTTCTTAAAAATAATCAAATGCCAAATGTGTTTTATATGGTCACATGATCATTAATGAAATACAGGGTGATGTAATTGTGTGGACAAGTTAAATATTCTGATACCCAAGTTTAAACTCTGCTAGTTCACAGAGGACTAACTTATTCATAATTTAAAGCTTGTACAGTGAGTCACTATGGATGTTACAAGTACATCCCATTGATCAGGTAATCAGCATCATCCGTAGCAAATGGCCGTCTCTTTAACTTGCTCTTCACAATTCGGAGCCGCAGCGCCACAACAAACAAAAGTAGAATAGCTAGTACAAGGAATATCGCAAGAGGAAGGACAGCCTTGTTCTCTATAATCTTCAGTCTGTGAGTTTCAATGACAACCACATCTGAAATGTTCTTGCTCTGTATTGGGACTTCCAGCATTGGAAGCTTGCTATTTGGTGCTTCTGAAAAAACAAAACAACAAAACAGACAATACAGAGAGTTACTTTACCCATTAGTTAACGGAGCTCAGCCATGGTATTTTGAGTTATTTTGGCCACATACAAAATTATCTTTAAATGGTAGGAAACCTCAAAATAACAGTTCAATAAGATAGAAAAACACCAAAGAGATAATGATAAACCATAAAGGAACAAGGATGGCTAAGGATGGAGAAGATTACCATGGATTAAAAATGTGAATTTGAAAAATTGAGACTAAACTTATCAATATGCGCAAACTGTGACTGAGCCCCTTTATATTTTAATAGGAGGTTTTGGGGCAATTTGATATGGGGGCTTGTTTAAAACATGAGATGACAAAATGGCACTACAGTAAGAGTCAATGACAGTGGGATATGGGTGTCTGGAAGGGTTAACATTTACTATTATTGAGAGCAAACTGCTGTCTGACAAGTCAGTGATATTTAGGCTAACCTGAGCACTGTATAGGCTAACTGGAACACTACATGCATTTAGGCTTACTGCAGTGCCATTTTGTGTTTTAAACAGAATCCAAATTTTTCTGTTAGAATGCTTTTTTACATGTAATAGAGATACATATACCAAAACAAGAGAAACCCTTTTGGCCATATAGACACTTGAAGGAATGGAATAAAGCCCTAGATAAGTGACTTTTGGAACATGTTGAGGTAACCAGCATTGAAATAACTTCCAGCAATTTTCACAGTTTACTCTTGTCTTTAATATTGTCTATAAAGAACTAGTAGTAATTACAAGTTCCTTTTAGACAATAACTAAAACTAGAGTGAACTGTGAAAATTGCTGGGAGGTATTTCAATGCTAGTTACCTCAAAATTTTCTAAAAGTCACTTAGGGCTTCATTCCGCACACCCCGTCACTTAACCTACTATGGTAATTTTGTTAGAAACTGTGCTTGTGTTCATACAATTCATCTCTGATATGAAAAATGGGAATGAAGAGAGAGAATCAAAACAATAGCATAGAGTTGGGGTAAAAATTGAAAAGACTATTTTGCAGCATACCATGAATCATTGGTTTCTGTGTCGCGGGTGTCTTTGTCGTTGGCTTCTCAGTTATCTTGGGCGGTTCTGTTCTAACTGGTTGTTTCATTGTTGTCATTTTTGTTGTGGTTCTACGTTGTGTACTTGGCTTATGCCATTTCTTTGTTGTTGGTTTTACAGTTGTTTCCTTGACCTCCATCGGAATCGTATAAGGAAAATCAGGGTTGTTGTCCACAAATTGTCTCCAGTGATGAAATGTGGTTGGTTTTTTGGTGGGTATCACTTTCACGGCATGCCCAACTGGTTCTTGATGGTGATTGTTTGATGGTGTAAGTTCCTCAAGCTTTCGTTCCAGATCAGCATCTGATTTATCTAGATCTTCTTGTCTGGGCTTTGGAACTGTCTGTTTATGCGTGACTTTTTGTACATGTACCGTAATTGGTTGTTTGGTCTTAACTTGCACATATTCTGTGGGCATTTCAAGATGCTCCTTAAACACTTCTTGGTAGGATGGTTTTTCAGATTCTTTAGACTTTTCTGAAAATTTTTCTTCCTCCACAGTCTTTGAAGGTTCTCCGAACTCTTTAACTGCCTTTGAATGCTCGGCATTTTCTTCTTCGTTTCTAGATTTCCAAGAACTACTTAAATCTTTGTCTTCTTGATTATGTTCCTGTTCCTTAACATGTTGTCTGAAGGATGGTTTGTCAGGTTTAACTCCAATATCTTTTTCTTCATCATCGCCTGGTAGGTATGCAAATATAGCCAAGGGTTACAATTAGTTTAATTACTTTTCTGATGCAGTTGTGGCTGTAAGGCCTTCAGTGGCCTACCTCACAAAAAAAGCATTCAACCTCCTCACATCAATTCTTTGAACAGAACATGGCACTGTACAGTATCTTGTCTAATGATGTCACTCAATTATGCTTCAGGCTTTATTCTATACGGTATCTTAAAGTGCACCTAACCCCCCAAATTTTTTTCACTAAAACGAATCTACTTGTTATTTGAAATAGTTCTGCG